TTAGGTGAGAATTGAGTTCACTGCAACTTCAGGAGTAGCCACCTCCGAGGCACCTTGGGGTCTTTGGGAGAGGTTGAGGGCAGCTGCCTGAGGGTCCGACCAAAGTTCTGTCATTTTTCAGGCCTCCAGGGGCCTGGCAGCAACTACCTCAGTCTTATCCCAAATTTATATGCCTTTTAAAATGACATCCATGTATATATTTATCCCGAATTTATATGCCTTTTAAAATGACATCCATGTATATATTTATCCCGAATTTATATGCCTTTTAAAATGATATCCATGGATATATTTCCCCGTAAGCAAAAAAGTGATGGTAGATAGTTCATGATGGAAATTGCAAAGTATAGAAAAGTATGTCAAAGAAACAAAGCCTCCGTCAGGGTCTAACCACAGTCTCAAAATGTTAAGAGGTTGCCGAGGTCAGGCACACCTGCGCGTGTCCTGGCCTCACATAACCTCTCCAATCTTAATGTAATGTCTTCTCATCTGAACTGACATAGCCCACCTCACACGGCTTGTGTGAGGGTTAAGTAAGGATGTGTGTGTGTGTGGGGGTGCACATGTGCAGTTGTTATCATTTCTGCCAATAGTTTGGGGTATTTTTTCAGCTTTTTTTGTACATACCAGTATTTATTGATCATTGTTTGATAGCAGCTGCCCCCTTCCCTACATCCGGGCATTCCAAATGTCCCTGGCAGAGGCAAGACTATGTCCAGAGGACTCAGGTGAAGAGACAGAGTGAAGCTGGACTGGGAGAGTGGATGGTAAGGAGGGTATTGTTTGGAAAATGAGGCCCAGAGCTCCTTCTCTGCACACTCTCAGAGAATTAGGCAAAACCCAGAGCCCAGAGTGCCTGGCAACCTCCCTATAGATCCTCCATCCTGGTGTGTAGCTATGGCAACTGTCTTTCAGATTCTCTGGGACATTTCTACACGGCCAGCTATCTAACTGTGGTCCAGACAGAGGCAGCAACGGGCAATTGCATCTAAAAGTGAAACACAAGAAGTGTTATTCCACTGACATTTCTGCCTTTCAGAGGAAACCAGTCTTCTTATTTTGACAACAGCCGTTCAGAGATTATTCCTTCTGCAAAAGGGAGGGAAGAGAGCAGCTCCCGCCACTGCCCTGGATCGAGTGCAGCTCACAGATGGGCAGCTCACAGGCTTTGGATTAAAGCAGATTTAGGAGCAAATCCCTGCTCCACCAATTACTGGCAGGGTGAAATTTTCAATGTGTCCAAGGTTTCCTCTTCTCATTTTCAAATGGGGATGGTAATGCCTGTCTCATAGCTGTGTTCATAATTAAGTGAGGAACATATGAAATATGCCAAAATATGCAGTATCTGACACAAAATAATTCTCCAATATTATTGATATTTTCAATTTTGGAGATCACAGAGTAGAAAGGAATCCAAGTGTCAGCAAAAAGACAAAAAGATGCAGGAACATGGCATAAGAAGTTATCAGTAGAACACAGTCGAAGGGACATGTCTCCTGGTAGCTGTTAAGAGAGGGCTCAGGACCAGAAGTAACGAGTGCAAGTCAGAGATGGACCAGGGAACATGATGACAACCCTGATCACACACTGTAGCCCAGATCCACATGGTCTTGTAAAGAGGGTCGGCCAAACTAAGGAGCACGAGAAGATGGTCGACAAAGGCTGGGCCAGAACAGAGACTATCACTGAAATTCATATTTCATTAATTATTTGTGGTAAAGGACTGTTATACAAATTTGTTTCAGACCAATGTTTTCATTTTTAAAAAAATACTGTAGCAATGTCAAATTACTATCAAAGTTTCTAATTGCCAACTTAAAATTTTTGCTCTTGTTGAGAACCAGTTTCAACTCTGTGTAACACTGGCTTAAGAGGTCTTGTTTGCTTTTTTTTT